TTCATGACACCCATTCCCACAATCTTCTTTCCTGTATTACTTCGTATGGTTTACCATCAGTTGCTCACTTCTTATAGTCCAATGTCTCACATTCACATGAAACTTGTGAAATTGTCTCTGTCTATTTGATGTATCCGCATCTCAAGTCTCCGTCTGTTTGGGTTGCCTTTGTTTGAAGAATGTCCATTGGGTAGCCTGTTATCATTCTGAGCTGATCCCTGATGTGTTGCAGCATCTTTTCAGTTTTTTTTCCAGACAATTCCTCTATAAAGGTTTTTCCGAATGCGATTCCAAAGATATTTTCAAAATTCTTCATGTTTCTTACGAACCTATTTCTGGATCTGGTACTGTACCATCGATTTTGGAACTCCCACGGGTCCTGGTAATCCAGCAACCTGATTTTGTGAGGATATTGATCTATCTACTCATTTTGCTGAAGTCTCAAAATGATATTATTCGTGCAGTGCAAAATTGCTTATGCATTGTTTAAAAAACACGTGTGTATTAACCGAGCAGACAGCTTTAGTTAACTTCTTTCAACCTATTATGTTTCCGTCTGTATACTTCGTGATGAAATCATGTTCTCGGTATGTCTGTTTATCATTCACTCTTCATCCTATTAGTGACTTCAATGGTAAAACATTGGATTTGCAGGATAGAGACTGACGTGAAATGAGACCCGACCGGAATTTGAATCCGGCTTTTCAGTTCTCTAGAGTCACCAGGCAGAATAACAGCCGAATCCCACCTCCAATTCAGTATTTTCTGGTGTTAGTGTGAAGAGGATGAAATTTGCTATATTCTACAACTAAACTTCATCCATCCGATAATTGATTTGTCACAAATAATAGCATCATCAGGATTTTATAACATAAAATATTTTTACGTGATTCTGAAATTAATATGAATTGAAAAAAATACATTTTCGAGATATCAAAAATATATAATATCACATGACTGCATGTGTATATTATCGAAATGACCTAAAGCACAGTAAAATAATACAACCACTAGGCTCTCTTACCACGTGATCCGCCTGAGTTGCCAGGGACCTTCAACCGCTCTTAGGATGTCATCCATACAACGCGTTCAGTGCTGTAGTATCGAAGGATTTGACGCTACCACGCTGTTGTTATTATTGTTTTTAGTTTTAGTAGTTGGTTATAAGTAATTTATCACAAAATATTCTATAATAACTTTGAATTTCGTTTTTATATGAGCGCACGCTTATTGAAAAAGAACGAAATTGGCTCTATACTTCGTTTCGAGGTCACCGAGAACTTTGTGAATTTATGAATGAAAGTAGTGGGAGTGGACTTACTGGTTGATCTTTATTATAATCTAAGTGTGTATTCATCGAGCTTTTCAACTGATTGTCTTCCGCAAGAAGTCATCATTATAATGCTCCTTGAGGTAATGAAAAACCTGAGATTTTAAGTTCTTCTCAAATATTGGAAGTTTGTGCTATTTGGAGAAACAAAACATGATTCTTCGTATGCAGCACTAGTTCAGGTTTGTACATGAAGAGCGTGAAGGTGAGCCCTTGCAATGAGCATATCTTTTTTGTGGTGCAAGCTAGTGGTAGAGGGATGGGAAAAACCATCAACAGACAACCACCTTTTCTCAGGCGATGTGCTCTAGTATCAGAGTCACTGTGAATGTGATGAAATGATCCATTTTCATCAAGCAAAAAGTTTGAAAGTGTATCTGTATGTTAGGTGCCATACATATGAAAACTATTTCAGCCTAATTTGTTAATTATAGAGCATCGAAAGCTTTTAATTTTCAAGAGAGAGACACAGAGAGAAAACTGATGATTTGTTAATTTTAGAACATCGAAAGCTATGAAGAGAACTTTTTTGGTTTGCAAGAGAGAGAGAGAGAGAGAGAGAGAGAGAGAGAGAGAGAGAGAGAAAGAGGGACAAAAAGAGAGAGAGAGAAATGTTGACAGTGGTACTTACAGCAAAAATGTTTTTCAACTTTTATTGTAGCTTTGAACCCTACAAAATCAATATGAAAAATGAGAAATGAAACTTTCATTTACAACTATTGTTACTGCAGTTTCGTCCTATGTGATCGATATAGACTCCCGTTATTAGCGAGTTTTCAAATATTACATTGTAGTTTTATATATATTATTGGAGTTTTTTCCCAACATGAAACCGTTATTTCAACACCTCGACACCTGTTTCGATCACCCAGTGATCATCTTTAAGAGGAAGATCAAACTAATCATACTTATAAAGCTATCCTCATTTATACCATAAATACCTGCCCTACGTACCTGCGTCTTGAGTGTCTTGAATAAATTTCACAATGTGTCCTTATGTAATAGTCCTCCATATTGATTCCTCATGGTAATGAGGTGCATTACTTGAAGTTTTATACTTACTTGATAATGGGGTTAAACCCGAAACCAGTCGTATAAATAAAATTACCTTGTGGAAATGAGAAAAAATTGTTTCTATTCATTTCATTGAAGTGATCATGAATAACCACAAAATAAAGAAGTCATCAATCACATATTATATTGTCCTATATGGACATTTTCAAACTAAAACAAAAATAGATTGCTATTTTGAAATTTCCGTCAAACCATTGTGGTTTACTTGCGTGTTCATCTTGAAATTGATCTACGAAAGCGTTCTGAATAACCAAGTGCTCTGAAGCGTTAGGTAGGATTAGGTCCAAAGTGAGTGGGTCTATTCGATCCTCCACTGCATCTCGCAATGTTTTATTGTGGCTCACACCTATTCACACTCGACCAAATAAACCCAGCCTCTTAACAAAGCCGGTTAGCTTGTATGGTAATTGGTCCTGACCTGATTCGGTCCCCAGCGGAGTAGGAACAAAGTATGTGCCATGCTGTTTCATCATTTTCCAAAAAGAGGCGACACACACTGTCTTCCGACAGCCCAAGTCTCGGCATATGACTCAAATGACAGTGACCTGTAAGAAGGCCTGTTAGACATCGTAGTTCATCCCTACTGTAGTCCAACAACTGTTTGGTATCAAGTTTCGAAGGGTGAATAAATGCCTTGGAGTGAGCCAATCCTGAAAGATTCTGTCAGAAGTCCATAAATCTTCTTGCCATCCAGGTTTTCACTCTTTGTTTGGCAAAACCTAAAGCGATGCCCATGACAGGTTCTGGTCCGATGAAGCTGCTTGCAGCACCCTCCTTTGCAAGGGAGTCAGTACCCTCATTGCCTTCCAGGAATCCATATGAATCAGATACAATCTGTTGAGTCTATCGACGAGAGTCGTTTTTGGCAGTTTGCTACCAATTTCGACGTTGCTCGGTAGGAGCCACGTCTCTCTGAAGCGTACTGTCACCCATAATAATGCGCATAGCGTTAGGTATTGTTGGAGAGAGATCATTTATGTGGATTAAAAATAGGGTCGTCATTGATTCTTGAAACGTCAACAATAATGATAAATGAATCAAAGTTCACTTCGTCAACTTCTCACAAAACCTATTGGATAATAACTAGCACAATCCTGGTGGTGGTGGCAAGAAGTTTTTGGAAAAGATTCGAATCTAGCAATTCAATGGTTTTATTCGATAGATAAACAAATTATTTGTATATTTGAAGTAAACTTATCAAGACCAATTTCACGAGCGGATAAAATGTATAGCGCTCTAATTCTAAGTCGATCGCAAATACAGCACAGTTTTTCCCTCAGAAATCTTCAAAGTTTCTTCTGAACTTGAATATATTTTCGAATGATTTCAGATGTGTTTACAATCACTCAGCCGCTTTCTTCACGTCCATATGATTCTTTTTGTGTTTAAAATGGTAACACTTTATCTTTCATCTATATTCAATAGGTCTGATAATCTTTCATAGAAAATCTAGTCAAAAAGACTAAGAATTCATCTGTTTCATGTATTTATTCATAAAAAAGTAATTGTTGCTCATGATCATGGTGTAATATAGGCTGAAAATATTTCATTCTTGAAAAAGAATGTTTATATCAACGAGAAACAGTTGTTCCAAATTATTTTTTTCCAGACTGGTACCTGAAAATATCTTTCAGTTGATTTTTTTTATATTTTGAAAATGAATGTATATAGGTCATTCTTTTTATTCATCAGAAACAAAAAAGAAATTCCGAAAGGTAAACCTAGTTTATAATAACCTGTTGAAAGTAATCATATGCTGGATACAAAATATCATTATATTCCTTTGAAAATATAAAATATAACAATAATTATAAAGGGAACAGAGCTTGTTTATGTGATGATTCATTTTCTGTGCTGAAATGATGTCGTTTGAAGGATCACACTTCAATAATTCTCACGATGGTAATGAAGACGTATTTTTCTTAAATGCGGTGTATAATTTTATTAACAATTACATGCTCTGAATGTTTGGATCGTGTTCCCTGTCACGATCATTTTTTAATTATGTAGAAAAATAGATCATTCTCTTTATTTGATTTTGAGGGTACTAGTTTGCATTTTTTTTCTAGTAACACTATATTTGTATTGTGCTTTTATTAATTTTGTCATGTCAAAGCCGTGAACAAAAACACCACCAGGAATACAATCCAATATAGTGTACAAATTGAACTGTGGAAGTTGTCACAAATGATATATTGGTCAAACCCGACGGTACCTTCTAACCACGAATTTCAGAACACATGAGATACTCTAAACTGAATACAAAAACCCCGTCTTTGAGCATGAAAAAGAATGTGGACATATTTTTGATTTTGATCATCCAACTATTCTGGATATTCAACCATATTTATCCAAAAGACTTTCGATCGATATGATACATATTCGCAAATGCGATAATGTTGACACTAAAAGACATGTCGATTGCCTTAATACTGCATATTTCAATTTCAGAATCACAGATAAAGCCATTCGTTTGTTTCATGTCGTTTTGTGTTGGTGTTGTCACGAAAGTTTACCTGTTGCAATGTTTTTTTTTATTTTCTTTTAATATGTATCTAATATTTCCGATGGTTTTTAAAATAGTGATATTATCAACATGAAGAAACCACTTTTCGGTCAGTAATTTTATTAAGAACTCATCATTTCTTGTAGAAATGAAACAATAATAATCGTATAAGTTTTGTGGGAGCTATGTTCATGAAATTCATTGTTACAGAGCCCCAAAGAAGAATTTATTTAAATTCAATTGCATCAAGAAAACAATTGAGTTTTTTAAGAAAAAATTGATTTTGTTACCTAACCCACCTTCCTTCAGGAAATTATTTATTACTATTCCTAATATATGAAGACAAAAAATACACTCATTCATTGTAGTGGAACATTCAAACTTCTACAGATTATTTGAAGATTTTAAGGCATACAAACAAATACTTGGTATCCATAAATTTGGAAAAATGTCAGAAGGAATCCAAAATTCACCAAATTACCCAAGGCGACAAGAATTCACTTGGCATTGTTTCCGCAGAAGTTTTGCTACATTGTTAGTGGACTCTATGTAAGATATAGCAACGTTGAAAATACATGGGAGAGGGAGATCATCAACAGTAGCCTAAGGTTATATTGAACATTTCATATTGGCAGAAAAATTGATAGCAAAATACTTTTTTCGCATCCCAAAAAACAAAATATCGTCGGTTTTAGCAGTACTAAACAAACAAATGAAAATAATTGTACCATGATTACGAAGGGCAAAATGGATGATCATGCAAGTGTAGTAATTAATGTTGGAGAATTGTTCGCACAATAATATGAATATCCATAACAATCATTCATATCATAGAATTTCGTCTACTTACATCTTTGTTGTAAGAGTTGAGATTATAAAGAAATTCTGAACTTTGTAGTTCTTTTTATCAACACCCGAAAACGATTGTTGATACTAACAATCTTTTTAATTTCCAATTTTATCTATTCTTTCAGGGATTTCAAATCATATCATATCATATTAGACAAAGTCCGAACTAATGAAATTGAGATGTTTCATTCAAATCAGCAGGAGTTAGTTATCGATCTGAAAGCACCTGTTAAGTTAGAATTCATATAGAAATAACCGATAATGAAGTCTAGCCGATAATAAAGTTCTAGCCAGAAAAGGCTACTGCTCCTTCACGTTGGTTGACTGTATCATATCTATTCAGTGAATAACCCGAGCTTGATGTAGACAAGTTTCTGATAGACGTAGAATTTGAAAATTTCTTGAATGTTCTGAACATGCGATAATTTTTGAAACTAGGGAACAAATATTCAAATGACCCATCGAAATCAACATATTTTGAATTGTTAAAATGCCTCATTAAAATAAAAACAGATTCTACGAGGACAATAGTATTTGAGCCACAACAATTACCTAATGAACACAGTTATAGGGAAAATCAGTGATACAAAATAGTTATATTCAATAGAAAATCAATTATCAATATGAATGAAGAAAAACAAAAGCCTAATAATAGAAATGCATAATGGCTTATTGCAGAGATTGTTCTGAGATGAGCTACTTGCAATGAGTTGTCGTGTAATGAATAATTATTAAAGTTCGTTCAAAATGCCACAAGTTTATATGAAATGAAATAAATTGAACGAAATCTTTCATTAAATGATATAAATTATCCAGATAACTTATACGACTGGCGGCGCCTCACAACAATCTATAATAAAGGATCACCCTTGATCTTCTCTACTCTGCATATTAATGATAAAAGTGTTTTTTTTTCTGATACTTCTTCGCAGGGTAATCATGTACTTTTTGTTTTTTTTTGTTTGTGTATGAACAGTTTTTCTCACATCATTATTGCAACAGTTGATGAGAATGGAATTGGGTTTATCGGGTTTTCCACCAGAATATAATCTATAGGACATGCCTTTTTTGATTCACATTGATGATTCACTAAATACAAGACTTGGTGATAATCCTCATTCATATGCAGATGACACTGTATATGTAGTGAATGAAAATAAATGGGATGAGACCATATCGAAGGCTGAAGTTGGCATGTCAATCATGAAACATAACTTTAGTTATGATGACGTGCTAACACTCAATATCACGACAAGTGAATTCAGGACATTTTCATGTAGTGAAAAATATCAATCAAAACTTGATGCACTCCTGAATTAAATAGAACCTCAGAAATGAACTACTTAGGAATTCATATAGATTGTTGCCTGAAGTGGAAAAAACATTCACTTGAATTGACAGAAAAATTGAGAAAACATTCACTTGAATTAACAGAAAAATTGGGAAAATGTCTTTAAAAAATCAGACTTCTGGGAGATATATTTAAAGTGAAAACATTATTAATGTTTTATCATGCATTATTTTTCGATATTATGACATATGGAATCATAGCCTGGGGTGGTGCATATGAAAATTCAGTGTAATATGTCAAGTCTATTCATAAGTCTGTTTAAAAATCTATTTAAAAGTCTGTTTTTCCGTTAATGCAATGAACATAATTTTTAAAGAACCTTCATAAAAAGTTTTATCCAGAAAATATTTCATTTCAACTCCTAAACAAATATTTTATAAAATCAGTACCATTTTTATCAAAAAACATTTTGCAAGTACTGACATAATTGAACATCAGTATGAATTGCTAAGTGTACTTAACATTTAATGCAACAACACTCCATATGTGAAATTCATAATATTATTTCACAAGAAATTGAAAAATTGAGATCAACAGTATTTAAAAAAACATCACACAATTGAATATTTTATAATATGTACTGACAAAATTGTGAATAAAATAATTCAGTTCAACAGATAATTTATTTTGCCCTTATTCATAATGAAACAATTTTTGATACATTTCTTCATTTCAATATGAACAATATCTATTAATAGCTACCATAATCTTTTTTTTTTCAACTAAACCAGTCAAACACAAGTGTTAACACTGAGCAGTGTGCTCAAATATCATGTACGTACTAACAATTTTTTCAATATTTGAAGACATTCATTTGATATTGTACATTTGTTAATAAATTTGAATCCCTCAGATCCCTCTCTTCAAAATCGATACTGTTAAATGACTGATTCGTGAATCTCGTCACCTTCTAGATTGTACAGAAACAAATAGTATTTTTTCATCATTTTTTCATTGACAATATTCGTCCCTTCAATAAACTATCTTCAATTTTGAGCAATTCATTTGGCTTCACTACCTAGTGTTATATCGTTTCAATTCAATTCAATTTGATCGTTTCAGCTATCATTTTGATTCTATAACTTTTAGAATATTCAATACATCTCTTCAGTAATACTTTTCATATCGAGCGAACAATTCCCTGGTCCGGGTACTAATACTATCATCTTCAAGAAGGTAATCGCTGATGATTACTTCGAAACAATTCCCAGTTTTTTCCTTCTCTGAATATTGAGTTATTGCTTTCTAAAAATTCGAAGTAGGCGTTTTGTGAATCGTGGTGAAGTCTTCAAAAATGACCTTTGAAATTTAGTAGGGACTCAATTCCACAAAGATATGGTTAAAAATTATTTACAATATGATAAATGTAAAAAAGACAAGGTAGGAATATGATAATTACTGGGACGAATTGCATAGTATTAAAAAAGTATAAGGAAATTATTCAGTCATACACATTTTGGATAGTGTGAAAAGTAAATAATGATAATAATAATAATAAACATACTAATAATAATAATAAAACGTTTATTTCAATAACCTGCCGATAAATGAGATACAATTGAGGAGAAAAAGTAAAAAGAAACTTAATACGTCACGAGAGCATCGCTTGTATGTGACAAAATATAGTAAATAATTCAAAAAATACAATAATCTAAAAAAAACAACTAAGCAAAAAAATTTTTAATTATAATAAACAACAATTTGATAATCCTAAAAGTAACAGACAATAATTACACGATTAGTGGACACAACACTCCAAAAAGGGGGCAAAGATGTAGCCTGGGAATTCTAGGCCAATAACCAGAACACGTGACCGCGATTTGCCCCTTTTGGAGTGTTGTGTCCACAAATCGTTTTATTTTTGAATTATATCATACACACCCGATAACATTNATTCACAATAGAATTTGATGTGTTGTTGCATTTTTGATAGTTCTGCCTATTTACTGCCTATTTACTGCCTATTTACTGCCTAATGTGTTCAGGAGCAGATTTTATAAAAAAAGTTCATAAAAAGATGGATCCGGATATACATTCCAAGATATTTTATGTATCAATTTTGAATATCATTAAATTTTAGGTGAACCATCACATATAATTTTCACAGATTATTACTATGTAAAAATTGATTCCTTTTTAAATATCATTATTTCCCAGAGTTTCCTCGATCTTTATAATCTTAAACTTTTGCAAGTAAACTTATATTTCAGAAATGGTTATATTTTACTCCATGTGAGGAAATCAAACTGAAATTTCAGAAAACAGAAATTATCTCCTCGAGATCTGAACAAGTAATTCAGGTCAAAACCTTTGTTCACAATGGCGACATGATAATACCACATCAGCATTTTCATAGGTGTGAAATATTAGAATATTCAAGTCGCCAAATAGAGCAAGGTCATCACTACCAATTCAAATAATACCATGAAACTAGCCATAGTAGTTCAGAATTTCAGTAGTAAAAATGTAATTCACGCAATAGGTTTCCAAAATTGCCCAAACCATTTCACTTCTTTCAAATTCGTTCCAAACATTTGAACGAGGAAGAGAAAACTAAAACCCTTTCACTTTGTAAGGAGTACCCGGTGTGAAGTAAAGCAAAATATCAAAACCATCGGCGAAATACTAGCATATACTAAGTCATCCCGGTAGTCATCGCCTATTTGGGTGATACCAGAAATACTGATGCGTCAGGAATGCAAAAATGGAAAGTTGTCGATAAGCATAACGAGAAAATGGTTGATGACAGATAACCCTGTCCAAGATTACAGATCTATTGGACAAATTGGAAAAATGTCAGTATTTCACGATCGAGATGAAAGAACAACATATCGAGAAAACATGCGTCCATACATAACAAGGGTACTATGAATAACTCAGGATGCCTTTAGGCTTCAAGAACGCTCCAGCCATGTTTCAGAGACTGATGGATAACACACTACGAGATAATTAAAATGAAAATATCTGATATATTTCGATGATGTTATCATTTTCTGAACATCCCTTCACGAACACTTGGACTACTTGACCTTGAAGGTCTAAAGCTAATCCCTAATAAAATCAGAGCCATTAAAAATTTCCCTATTCCAAAAACAATCACACATATTGAAGGATTCCTACGTTTAGTTACTGTCTGTACTTTAAGAACAACTCTGCTATATTAACCAAACCTGTATTCTAATTCCAGAGGAACGAGAAACACAACGCAAAATTTTTTGAATTCAACATTAATTACGGATGTGAGCAAAATCGCTTTAGGTGAGGTGATTTGACAGGGTAATAAATTTCAACTTTTCAAAACAAGAACTTTAACATTCTAACCTTATAAATCACGAAATAAAACTAAAACTAGCTGAATTAAATGTTGGAGGCAAGCTCAAAAAATCAAGGTAGCTCTTGGATTTCTGAATATTTTTTATCATACTAACACTCAGATTGGTTTCAGGAAAATATACAAGGTTTTTTTTGAAAATATGGAGCAATACTTTTGGAAAATTAGGAGAAGACTGGGTTTTTTTAGCACTTTTGGGAATCATCGTTGCAATAATAAGTTACACCATAGACAAAGGAATCATGATGTGTAATAAAGGTATTGGTGATTTTATTATTAATTTCATATCTGGTCGTATAAAGCAATTGAATTAACACAGAGGGCTATAGAGAGGGATAGCTGATAGAAGGAGAACCTGCTCATCAATAATTGTGTTACACATAATTCAGTACATATTAACGTATAGTCTATCTGGGACATGAATCAATTAACCAATAAGCGCCGATTCATACAGAACGGATGTTGGGTGGAGACGAGACGCGGACATGGTACAAAGAAGCGACGTGGCGCTACGTCGCCTCTACCTCACTTCTAACTCTTTTTTACAAAGGAAAGACACGAAATAGCGAAACGTCTGCGCTCCGTATTTTATCCGCCTTTTGCACGAAAAACTTTCTGTACCTGGCATGCATTTGCTAAGATGCCTTGTGATTCTTGTAGAAAGGCGACATGTTTACTATATTATCTAATCGATCTAGGGTGTGAACAAAACCGGCAATTTTTAAAATAGGCTCATTTTCTTCGTTGCCCTTTTCCCTACACTTTCAGTATTTTGGAATACACAAAAGTACGGAATAAGAAATGAACAAATTCACGCCATGGTTCATGTCAAAAAAAATACTAAAAGCAAGCAGAGGTTGTACCCTCTATGGCTAAAAACTTTTACATATCTTATATAGCATAATATGATGTATGCATATATTCAAACTTCAGACTATAATTATTATCTATCACGATATTGCCTACAAATGAGACCACAACTTCAGTGTTATCATTGTTAGAATGAAAAATCTGTAAGTAGCAAAAGAAGTTTCATATTTCCATGTATTAATTTTTTCTTGATTGATTTTTTCAATTTGTTGGCAAAATTTATGAATACGACAAGTTACTGACTGAGGGCACTTTGCAGTAGTTTATATTACGCAGTAATTACGCAGTATTAATCATTTGAAAAAGCTAATGTTTTAGCGAAACATGTTATGATTATTTTCAATAAAGTTAGTGGAGATCAAATCGTTTAAGTGTAGTTTGTGAAATTACGCAGTAACTTCTCGAGGTAAAATTTTCAGTAGCGGTATAAACGCTTGATACTTGAAAAATTTTTGTTTTCGTAGTGAAAATAAATTTCTTAAACCCAAACATGTGAAATTGTTTTATATTTAGCAATTCATTAACACTTGATCTGACGTATGAACAATAATATTCAAGTTTGATATTATTGCTAACAGTATATAATTTGATGGCATACAAATGAATGATGAAAAACAAATAATTCTTTAAAATCTATGTTTATTACCGATGCATAAAGGTTTATGTGCATTTCAGGGGTTTCAGAGGCAAGTGAAATGTATTCCTCCGGCGTATTAGAATTTTTACATACTGGGATTTAATTTTTCGTTTCTCAGTTATTTCGACAAGAATTATTTCGTAATGAGAAAAAAACTCAAAGTTGGTTATATGCACAAACTATATATTACAGTAAATAGGGGAACCTGTTCTACCTTGGACAGTTTTTTTTATTTAAATTATTTATAGAATAATTTCCTTTTCAGGCCATTTCCAGTTTTTCAAAGACTTTTGCATGGAATTTATCAAAACTCCCTCTTCACTCAGGGATTTTATTTTACCCACGAAGTATTCTTCTTCTTGAATAAATATCACAGAGTCTCCTATCTCATAATCATAATTGACGTTACCTTCTTCAATCGGACTATCACTGTTTTCATTTTCACTATAAGAGTCATCAGTGTCGTGGACGGAATAGTTCGAATCTTCAGAGTCAGAATGAATCAGGACTTTTCGTTTTACTCTATCTGTTTTCTTTTGTTCCTTATTCTTGCCTATCTTTAACTTACGATCATCTTCAAGAGCTACTTTTTTAACTTTTTTTGAAGCCTCAATCGCATTGTTCTCTGGTGTATCCGTAAGAATTCTAGATTTGCCTTTGGTCTACCTTTATGTGTTCCTTTTCGAGGATCGGCTTTTGGATGTGAGCGAATTATTTTAGGGGTGATAAGTTTTGAAGAACTTGGTTCAAATTTATGAGGTTTGTTAGAAATGTTGAGTAAGGACATTTCAGGTTGATCAGAGGACTCTTGGGCCAATTCTGGAGTCAACTGATTACCAGTCTGTGCACAATATTCTGGGGGCCAAAGATGTCCAACTTCGACTGGAGGTTCTTGGAGCAGTGATTTGTCAGCCTGTGCAGATGATTTTTCAGGCAAAAGACGATCAGGCTGTGTGGAAACTTTTTGAGGTGAAGAAAGATCTGAAAAGTTTGCTGTCAAAAAGTCAGCATCTGAGAATATATTCTCATTTAGTGGATGAAATCCTGTAGCCTTGAAACCATTCGCAATGTTCATTGGTGTAAACGCATGTGGAAATGCATTTCCGACCAAGTCAGCAATGTCATAAATTGTCAAAGGTTTTCCTACGTGTCCAAGTGTCATTAGCTTTTCGTTAGCTGCCTGATTAAAATATGTTTTAAATGGTCTAAAAACTGATTTGTCCAATGTTTGCATTGTGTGTGGATGAAGCGTAACAATAATGACACCGTTTTCTTTGGCCAGGGGAATTGCTGTAACAGAAATATGGCTTTCGTGATTGTCCATTAGAACAATGACAGGCCGCTCCTTAGAAGGCCTTGGAAATTTTATGGAACAATCCATAAACAACACGAAAGTGGCTTCATTAGATCATCCTGATGGGTTGGCAGCGCCTACAGTGCCCTCTGGTGCTCCATGAATCATAAAGTCATTAAAATTGACCCTTGAGAAGATAAGCATTCGTGGAATGTATCCTCCATCGGCATTACAAGCAGCTATCACCGTAACGGTGGCTCCTCTTACAGCGCTTGTCAAGGATCCTACTTCCTTAATTCCAGTTGGTGCCAGAATTTTTGGAGGGTCGTGCACGGTTGATAATCCTGTCTCGATGAGGTATCAAACAACATAGACAACAGTTCTAAAAGGCGCGAAATTTTTGAAAAAAGTAAGATTGTTCCAGGTACAACTCTATCCAGGGTACAACAGGTTCCCCTACTATTTCATTTATTCACTGTAATAATATTTTTGCATGTTTAAACTTAGCGAAAGTAGCAGTACTGGCCATACTAATAAAAAAACTCCAGTGTGAATTTCAACATGATCTCTTTGTAAATCAGTTCCAATACGAGAACTTCGGATAGCTTGAATTTGAATGTTATGAGTTGTATGTAATGATCGATGTTTACTATGATCAGAATCGAATCTATATACCTACATTAGTGGAAAGAAAAAGGGTTTTGATAGAATAACTGCCTTCAGTTTCTATCTTTTGGTCTAAATTTATTTCGGAACCGAACTGGATACTTTGATACCATTCGAGATAGGTTGAGAAAGAGAAGCAAATTACCAATCTTCATTCTAATCCTGTTTAATGATATCAATACTTTTGTTTTTTATTTCATCAAAATTTCCAAATGAAAATGCATCCTATTCAGTCCAAGAATTGAAAAAATGCAACTCACAAAGTTGGAAATATTGGTTTGTAAAAAAGTTTAGTCTTAACTAAATCAAAATTGTTAATAGAACATTATCGAAGTTCTATTGTGAAGATCTAGATAATCTAGCAGACAGGAATATATCGATTCTATATCCGGTACTAGAGCTAGACATAGATTATTAGTTCTATATATATAACCACTGAACCATCTTTAGGAATATTAAATTTTTTTATACGGAACCAAAATAATAAATGGGTCTGGTAGGTCGGTAGCTGTTCTTGATTGACGGCACCCAAATGTGCTGTACCTTTTGAAAATATACGATGGTTTTACGATGGTTTATGGTACTGATATTCCTGTAGTATTCATTCAGAAAAAGAATTCGTTACCAAGAAAAATATTGTTGATTCAATAATTATATAGGTTATAAAATGAAATAATTGAAGATGATCTTTAATGTTACATATATTGACGAATCATTAGCCACTTTGGTTTTTGATAATGTGAATAAGAATATTCGAATAAATTCAAATATTTGCCCCGTACTCGAAAAACATCCTATCAGTGTTCTGATAAGCACTACAAAAATGCTGTTTCTTACTGGAACAACTGAATTCAGACAGAATGCGTTTGGGATATTCTTCATATGTTACAATGAGAAATTTTGTGTTTTCTGGACCATAATCAGAGAATCAAGAGAAAATTATAGAGACAAAAAAGTTATTTGGAATGGAAATTCATTATTGTAGCTAATTATATCGAAGAATTCAGTTAGAAAACCAAATTTTTAACTGTAATATATAAATATTTGTTATCCAAATAGTCGAGACATCATTTTAATAGTTGGCAGAAGTAATGTATTTCATTTCTATCCATGCTGAATTCCAAGACGAAGAGGAAGGGTAGTCGTTGCTGACTAGTTAAGAATAAAAACTATTGGATAGTGGGGTATTGCAGCAAGTAAATGAGTACTCTTTTAAGTTAGTCCAAGCTTTCGGAAAATTTTATTTCCATCATCAGGGAAACTACAATAATATAAGTTTTAAGGTAAAATCAAAAATATTAATTGTTCATGACTTACATCTTATGTGAGGATGGTTACATTGATGTTGAAGAAAAAATGTTGATACATTGGAGAAGATGAAACTTGATA